CGTGTGCTCTTCCGATCTAAAACTTATCAAATATTTTATAAGTTGTGTTTATGTTTATATGACAGTCTCAGTTATTTACTAAAATATTTTTAATAAATAACACTCTCATATTTTTAATTCTAATATTAAAATTGTAAAAAGTGACAGTAATTGGGACAGTTACCCTAGAGTATCGTTTTGGGCACACTAATTTTTTTACTTGCTTCTTGTATGCTCATTTCTTTTCGGATTGCTTTTACAGCAGCATTAAGTGTAGCTTGTAAATAATTTTTTTTCTTTTTTTCTTTTCCCATGGTTAACTCTACAATTGAAAAATGCAAAAATAAATAAATAAATCAATTTATAAAGCAATTTTTAATAGTGAAGTTAGAATCTTTTGAGGTTAAATTTTTTATTTTCAGGTTTTTAACGTACAGTTATTATTAATTTCTTGAAAATATATTTCAATTTAATGCAAGTCTACTTATTTCTTATTATAAAAAAAAGCATATACTTACTCTTTATGAAATATAATTAGTTAAAAACTGTCGCTTACAATTTCCTAACTTATGACGTTTAATTCATCTCAGTTACTCGGACACGAACGCAAATATAAGTTAACCAATAATTGAATAATCCATTCAATCTCTCGGCATCTAACAGTTTGACTGTACTAATAATTAAATATTAAAATTTTTATTTTAATATTTTTATTTAAAGTTTTTAATAAAATAAACTTTTTAAATTTAATTTTTAATTATTCTTCTAATTCTTCTATCATAAAAAGCACATTTGTTTAAATAAATAAAGTACAACATTTTAAAAAATTCGAAAATGTAGACACTATGCTTCTAGGTTACGTAACTTAAGATAGTAAGAAAATGAGTGAAAACGTAATTGTATATGCGACACTTCGAATAAATTATTTTTTTTTTACAATAATTTGCAATCAAATTGTGTCCTTATTACATATTTTGATACAAAACATTTTACTTTTTCTTTTTAATTTGGTATTTTTTTGTTGTTACTAATAAATAATTACAAATATATTGTTAATTTTTCAATCACTGGGCACGTTCAATTATTGGAACGTTTATCTTATATAAAAATCTATAAAAACATGCTGTCATCTGTGGCAACTAAAAGAACTAACTGTAATAACTTACCCTGTGTAACAACTAACCCCAGTCTCCCCTATATAATTTTTTTTTTAAGAAAGTAGATCGGATATAGTTGAATCTATATGAAATAAAAATAATTTTAATGCAGATTTAAAAAAAATTTTAATAAATAAATGCTAGCCGAGATTCAAAACTGACGTCACATATTGGTCTTTTTTTGCTATAAATATTATAAAATGACGTTCGGTGGATGTGACATATCAACGTCATTTTAAGGTATTTGATGATCAATTTAGGTCCAATTTATGACGTCGCATTAGTCATTTTATAACCAAAATTTGTTGTCGTTTTGACGTCATTTTGCTACTTGGGTAAATCAAATAAAAGTATGGCCACGTTATGGCATCGTTAACTCGACCATATTAATTTTGTCGATCTTTGCAAGATGCAAAATGGACTTGTTATAAGCGTCAAATTTAACGATAAGGATGAAGATATAATTAAAGGATACCTGACATGCAAGGAAGGTAAACAGATAAGATTGCCTTTCGTCAATAGCACAAATCATTCCAAACATATTCTGGAGTCGGTTCATTCTTATTTAAACGGAAAACCAATGGAAAATAAATCCATCGAAGGAGCCAGGTACATACTTACATTTATTGACAATTATTCTCGCAAAATATTTGTTTATTTCTTAAAAGAAAAATCGTAAGTATTGGACAAGTTTAAGGAATTTAAGTCCATGGTCGATAATGAAACAGACTGCAAGATTAAGACATTGCGATCGGATAATGGCTCCGAATACGTTAACGAAGCGGAAATTTCCTAAAAAGTTGTGGAATAAAGCACCAGAAGACAACGACGTATACCAGAGCAGAATAGTGTGGCTGAAAAGGCAAACCGCAAGATTGTCGAGAAAACAAAATGTATGTGTTTGATGCAAAACTAGATGTATCTTTTTGGGCAGAAGCTGTAAATATGGTAGCTTACATTCTAAATCGTTTTGCCACTGTATCCCTAAATAATACAACACCTGAAGAAGTATGGTCTGATAAAAAGAGAACCAAAACTAACTAAATGAGAACCAAACATGGGACTTGATTCAGCCACCGCCAGATCGTAAACCAATAAAGTCAAAGTGGATTTTTAAGTTAAAGAAAGATCCAAACGGTAAAGTGGTTCGATACAAGGCCAGGCTAGCGAAAGACTGTTCGCAAAAGTTTGGCATTGATTATGGGGATACCTATTCACCTGTTGTCCGTTATACGTCAATTTGTTATCTAATCGCTCTTGTGGTTAAATATGATCTTAAAATTAATCAGATGCATGTACAAAACCGTAAGTAATTACAATAAAATTGTGAAAAGTTTAGCTATCATTACCTCAGAAATTATTTACAACGCTGAACAAAACTTACTCTGACGAGCTAGATTGTACGTAGATGGATGGCTCAATTTGAGCATTTATTATAGTCGTACATTAGTATTCTGTATTTTTATTTACATCATTTATGAGTACAGGAAGCCAAGTGTACGCGGATTCGACACGCATGTATCTCAAATGAAGAATCCACGCGCGCCGCCTATCAGCTAAACCCCCACAGGTGTCCAACTCCTGGCGCTATGTAGGGGGCCGCCTAGGGAACGCATGACTTTCTGGACGGCTCCACGTCCGCCTTTCGGCTCACTTGCGTGAGTCCATTTTCGTGGGCTCAAGGCTCTCCCTAAGAGGGGATCCACCGATTATAAACGGGGGAAGGGACACTAGCCCTCTCCCGCCCCGTCCCCCGCGGGAGACAGAGGTCCGGGACAGGTCATCCCACTTCAAGGAATGGTCCACCCATCGCGGTTATTTCACCGACCCAACTTCATGTCCTCGGAGGGGACAGGGAGCCGGGCTGACACCCTGACCCCACTTTCCCCCCGCTGGCAGAGACTATCGTCGGAGGACAAGTGGCCGAGCAGAGCAGCCCGATCCTCTTCCTCCGACAATCTTTCTCCTTGTCACCGGCGTCACTGCCCAAAGACAAGGGGCCAGGTCGAACACCCTGATCCCTCCCAGCTGGGCGGCGTCCATGCCTGTTGAAGCAGCTATCGGGAGAGATGAGCCCGCAAGTTTTAACTCGCAGCGGCTGACTCCCCTCCGCCCTCGTCACGTGATCGAGCGGGAAACGGTGACGACGGCGCGTCTTCCTCGTGTCCTGGTGCCTTCTCTCCCCCGACCAGTGGAGGGGCGTACGCTTCTTCTTTCTCTCTCGGCCTCCTCCTTATTTTTCATTACCTCCTTACAGGAGAATAGGTACAATATTTTATATATTATTTGTTTTATTTTATTTAAATAATTAATTGGTTTTCGAGTTTGTTGCTTTTATATTATGTATGTATATTCAAGTTTTTACTTAAATAATAATAAAAACAATATCTATTATGTATTTAAAAAGCTTCAAAATAAATATCAATTGTCATTATGTGCTTAAAGCGGCTGTAATTGGGATAGTTACCCTAACATTAATATTCGAACTAAATCCTTTGAAACTAATATTATGTTAATAAAAAATAATACATGTACTGACCTATATACATCATAATACATCTTATTTTTGCATTGAAAACAAAATTAAATTTATCAACATAAGTAACGATATACAAAAATGTATAACAGTTAAGTTAGTTATTAAGTTAGTATTCCAGTTAGTTATTAGCTAGTTAGTAATTAAGTATAATACAGCTTGTCAGTAATTAAGTTGATTAGTCATTAGGTTCGTTAGTCAAAAAGTTAGTTTCATTTTAGTATTGGTATTTAAAAAAGGGTCCCCAGATAGCCAAATGAATTCAAGATGCTCTCATGTTGCTATCAACCGTTGCAGCAATGGATGTCAACAAACGAGGAACAAAGTGCTTTCTCACTATGTGTGAACTCTTGCCCTTGAATTCTTATTTTTATTAAAACAAATTGATTGCATCTTGATGACATCATTTTGTTATACGCAACGTACATACGTATGATAGCAACATGATAGCAACTATTTTCATCGGTTTGCTGTTCGCGTTTAACAGTATGTTGACAGTAATTTGATGGCAACATGAGAGCAATTTATCATGCTGTGGTATCTGTGATAAACAACATGTTGACAGCATAATGGCAACATTTGCAAAAATATAAAAGCATTTGTATATTTAATGAAAACATGTTAATATCCGGTCTCTTTTATATATTTACATAAAAATATGTTTTAGAACAAAAATCGCATATATCGCATTGTAAATTTAATTTCAAAACAATACCAAGCTTATTTTCTGCAAAACATTATTCATATCTTATACTAAGTGCACATATGAATAATGCACAAATAATTATGACATGTCTAAACTTCGATTAGATATTAGGGCTGGTGATTTCCTTCGAAGGTTTCGAAAGATCGGCATTGAAATCTTCGAAATAGATCGGAAGAGCACAC